GCTCAAGGACTGATCTCTGACAAAGAGTGAAAGCTTGAGTGAAAAATGCTAGCTGACTGGCTATGGAGGACTATAGGGGGACCTGAATTCATCAGCAATCCCTAAGGGGGTAGTGCTACATAAAGAATCGTACAAACAGCTGCATAGGGTTATATACAAGTCAAAAGATATATATATCAAAAAAGTTTTGCATATAAGATAGAAGTATTAATGTAAAAAAAGGGGGAATCCTATCCTCCTAGGTAGAAGGGACAGCACATCAATGAGAGGCAAGACGGAAAAAAAATAATATCCACAGATACTGTACTTACAATACTCATACATTAAATGTATGACTGCTTGTATCTCATTATGTGTTTAGCAGAGGAAAAGTGTTATAATACAGCATGCTGTCATATGAAGAAATTGAATGTTTTGAAGAAGAAGCAGTGACCGCGAAACACGTCAACATTATATCGTTTGACAAAGTGCCATTGCGATTTTTTGGATATGGACACAATGCTTATTTTGTCCACTTTTTAGCAAATATGTAATAAAAAAAATCTTGTTTTTTATAGTATTTAGTTGTGAGATCTGACTATATACTGTTCGGTCATCCTAGAACTCCTGCTTTACGGGAGTTTACGGTGGCCTAGAAACAAAAGATCGGTGCCGACCCTCCTTAAAACCTTACACATTTGCATACATAATTGATTAAAAACATATTAAGACAAGATAATTATATTAATAAATGGTTTCCAAAAGAGAACTAGCCACTCCATGCGTGGGATTGTTGTAAGATATGACAGTGCTCTGTCCCTGTGTACTAATTGTTCTCCTGTGTTTTTCTCAATGGCGACTACAAGAGGCCTTTTCACAGGACATTATGTACCATGGTCCAAAGTGGACATCATCAGGGAACCCATCCATCCAACTCAGAATATGAATTGTTGGACATTTCACTGCTAAACCATTGTCCCTTTGTGGTTATAACAGCCTCCACGCTTTTGAGAAGAGTATGTCTCTGGGAAATTTTGCCCATTCAACCAAAAGGGTTGAGGTCAGGACTCTGTGCAGACCTCTTGAGATTCTCCAAAAAAATGTTCAATCCATATCTTTATGGAGTTATCTTTGTACATAGGACATAGCCATACTGGAACAGAAAGGACCTTCCCCAAAATGTTATCACAAGATTGGAATTGCACCCTAGTCAGAAACAGCCTTAATGGTACCCTTCTCTGTATCTACTGTAATACATTAATTTAATACGAATATACAAAAATACGACTTTATACTGCAGAAAACAAAAAGACATTTTTGGTAAATTTGCCCAAATCTGAAAACCTGTGACATTTCCATGAATACAACTTTTCAGGGACCAATCTTGAAAACGTATCATTCTCCTAGAAATTAGCGACTGCTCGCCTCTCTGCTTATCATTTTCTCAGGGTGCGCTCTTGGCTTGAGAGATGTCATTTCACATTTTTTGGAGAACTTCTCCTGATAGCACTCTCATTGCTTTTTTTAATGCGTCCCTCTCCATGATATCATTTGCAGAATTGCCAAGAAAATAAGTTAGTTCTATCCCCGTACTTAACTCATAGAAAAATAAAAATTAAATTACTCAGACTGCTATTTTCATTCCTTGGCTGTTTAAATGCTGTATGGCTGGAAAATTTGAATAAATAGCTCGTGTTAATGGCGTTTGCCGGTAAAGCTGAGCTTATTGTAATTCTATGTGACTCACTGTATACACAACTTCCTGACAGAGGAAGTCCCCAAATTACTGACATTCCTACAGCTAAACCTAAAAATATTCCTGTCTCTATTTCGCCATTGGTATAGTCGCCAAATAATAACATGAAGACTAAATCTGTAATGATATTTGGGGATTTGTTTAATAAATATAATATACAATAATAATATGATTGTATACAGTCTCTCATACTGCAAGGTCATTGGTTGGGTTAACTAGCAGCCACATGTTTCTATATGTTTGACAGAGCCGCTTCTATGTTTCCTAAATTAAATGACATGGAATCTGTTTGAGCTCTGTTCCACTTATATTAATATATGAACTGTAACCAATCATCATTTAAAGCTGAACATCAAACAGAAATAAAAGACACAAAAAATGCAACTTAGTATACATTTACATTTATTTTTTTTAATACGAACAGTGTAAGTACTCGAAATTGTCTCAGTGTCAGCCTCTTGCAGTCCCTGTACAGCAGAGCTCAGACTTGGAGAAAGTAGCAGCACAAGGAGCCAATCAGTGGTGCTTCAGTGCTCATGTGCTAACAAGGAATATGTTGATAGGAGGAGAGAGCAGAGTGAAAGTGATGAACTCATCATTCTGATGCTTCTCCTTTTACTGTCCAACCACAGGCTGGAGGATGGACCAGGGCTTTTTTTCAGCGGGAACGTGGGGGAGCCCAGTTCTGGCACCTCCAACACTGAATGTATGTAATGGCAAGGGGTGCTGGGGTATGCTGAAGAGTCTATTGGTGCTGACTACTGAGGGATCTATTGTTGCTGGAGAAGATCTATTTTTGTGAAGGGGAGGCTATTGTTGTTAGGGAGGTCTATTGTTACTGGTGGGGAATCTGGGGCTGGGATCTGGGATCAAACAGATCCCAGATCTCTCCATAAAGAGGGACTGACATTCTTATTGCTATTACAAAGGATCTTGTGCATCCTTGTGATAGCAATAAAGTTGATTAAAAAAGAACCAGTGTAAAAAGAATTTTAAATAAAATTAGTTTTAAATTAAATAAATGATAATAAAAGTGCCCCCTTCCCCCTGTGCTCACTCACAAATGCAAACACATGCATATGTAGACAGCGATTGTACCACACATGTGAAGTATCACCTAAAAGTCAGAGCGAGAGCAAAAAAGGCTTTTAACCACTTCTAGTCCGGACACTTTCACCCCCCTTCTTGCCCAGGCCAATTTTCAGCTTTCAGCACTGTCGCACTTTGAATGACAATTGCGCGATCTTGCAACACTGTGCCCATATGATATTTGTATAATTGTTTTCACACAAATATTGCTTTCTTTTGGTGGTATTTGATTGCAATTGGGTTTCTTATTGTTTGCTATATAACTTTAACATTTTTTATTATAAAATTTTGCAAATAAATAATCTTTCTTCAGAAATCTCGGCCATAATGTATTCTGCTACCTTTTTTGGTATAAAAACACAAATAAGTATATAGAAAATAATTATGATTTAAATTTGTAATAATTTTAAAAATTTTTAAACATTTTTATTTTTTGCATATTATATATATATATATATATATATATATATATATATAAATTTTGTATACCGTCACCCTATCAGTACAGTGTCATCATAGTGACACTGCTGTATGCTACTTGTGGGAGTTGATCAGGATTTTTTTTTTACACTGTAATTGCAATCATTTTTCACTCTCTCTGGCTGCATTCGTGCAGCTAGTGAGAAATACTGTGAGAGCTATGATAGGTCACAGCTTATCACATGGTACAAGGCTGTTGTGAGTGGCCTTGTACCATGTGATCTCTGTGATCACAGCAGTAAACAACAATGCCAGTAAATGACATCTTGTTTACTACTGTGTATGTGTTTGCTGATTGGCCAATCAGCAATCACATGCTACCGGGGCCGCCCACAGTGGCCTGGTACAACGTTCCACATTCTGCTGTGTCCAGTGGAACACAGCGGGTACAGATCGTGCCGCTGCGCACTCTCAGGGAGCGCACACAGGTGGCGGATGCGGAGGGACGTTTAGAAACTCCACTGGCATCTGCACTGCTCCCGTCCGACCCATCCACATAAACAGCCAGATGGGAGCAGCAAGAGGATAAAGCGTCACCTATGGAGATTTTTAGGTACCGTAGTTTGGCACTTTTCCATGGGCATACGCAGGGGCGGACTGACCATTTGGAAACTTGGGCACTCCCCGAGGGCCCGGGTCAGTAGGGGGCCCCATGAGATGCCCCTGGTACCTTTTTCATAGGCTTTTTTGAGTTTGGGCAAGGACACAGGGGCCCCTATTGCCCGGGGGCCCCATGAGTTGTCAGTCCGCCCCTGGGCATACGCAAATATAAAATGTAAATGTTAGGTATCTGTTTACTCTGTGTAACATCGTCTTTTAGATTTTACCAAAACATTTGGTTTGTGTGCACTTTAATTAATCGAAGTGTGTTTTTCCCCATAAAATTGCTTTTGAAAAATCTCTGCACAAATACCAAGTGACAAAAAATTGCAACACCAACCATTTTATTCTCAAGGGCCTGCTTAGAAAAATATATACAATATTTGGGGGTTTTAAGTCATTTTCTAACAAAAAAACAGATTTTTTTTTTTCTGTCAGGATTGGCCTGGGAGTCAATTGGTTAAGTTGAAAAAATACATTCTTAGCAATCCACATAACATGAGACCCGCTATAAACTTAGCAAAAAAAGTGCCATTTTTGTCAGCTAGCTTCACGTAAATAAATTTTTGGTATGTATTAAACTCATAAATACGATCTATCTTCTTAATTCCTCTGCCTCCTTGTTTACGACTGATCCGCCAGCCAAATATACAACTAAACGGCGTTAACAGTATGTGGCAGTTCATTTGAAAAACTCCCTACTTAGCCTAAGTTATGGATTTTCATAATTCTAATTACAAACATGACTAAGTAGAGACATTTTCAGGTAATTTATGAGAGCAGAATATTAGTTTTTCTGCAGCTGAATACAGAGATATCTAAATATGTCTCACTATGTTCCTTATCCAATTGAAACAGGGATTTCTGATGTGGGAAATAATTATGCTTTTTCCTTTTTTTTAAACATTTTTTTTTTTTTTTTTAATATTTTATATCTCATTGACACAAAATTATCATGCAAAAAATGTTTCTTTTTTTTTTATTGCTCATTAAATTGCAATTTTGGGTCTTTACCACTGGAAGCTTAGTAACAAGGGGAAAAAGTTTACATTCTGTAAGTATGTCATTAAACTCCGATTTGACATGGTGTTTGCAGATATAGATGAATGCCGTGAAAACAAGTGTGGAGACAACGCGCTGTGTGAAAATACTGCCGGAGGGTTCAACTGCTCGTGCCTTGAAGGTTATCAGTCGTCCTCAGGAAGCCTGTACTTTCAGCCAGACGACGGGACTTACTGTCAAGGTAAGTTGTGGTGCCATGAATACGCCTTTTTGTGTTCTTTAATTACAATGGCTTTACAAAGGAGAGATTTTTCCTCCAGGTAATATTCAGTATAATTACATTTATTAAAAATATAATGGATGACAAAAAGGTATTATTGCAGTTTCCGATATAGTTTTAATTACTTTCAACATTTTTTTTTTTTTTGGAAAGAAGTGGTGAATGTACTTTTTTTTACATTTGGGAAAGAGTAAGGAAGGGTTAGAATTCTAATCAGGTTTTTATTGCTGTCCGTGGCCCTGTTAGGTACATTCACCAGTTCCAGAGACCACCATTACCAAGACAGAAAGTGATGGGAAATCCAACATTTTAGAGTTTACTCCAGAACAATTGAGGTGCTGGGAACTTTTAGTTTTGTAAGAGTAGTCAGATGCAGGAAAACTTCAGTTAAGCTCAACCGATATGTTGAGGTGGTTCCTACACAGCAAGTCTTCCCCCAGTGGGCACCCAACAGTAACTCAAACCATAGAAATACAGAAAGGAGTACCAGACCAAAGTTGATAAAAGATTCCAAGAATATTTTATTGTTGATAAAAAAAAGTCTTATATTTATATATATATATATATATATATATATATATATATATTCTCCCTGTGCCTGCGTGGGTTTCCTCTTACTCCAGTTTCCTCCTACACTCCAAAGACATGCTGGTAGGTTAATTGGCTCCTGTCTAAAATTGTCCCTAGTATGTGTATGTATGAATGTGAGTTAGGGACCTTAGATTGTACGCCCCTTGATGGTTAGGGACTGATGTGAATGTACAATATATATGTAAAAGCGCTGCGTAAATGGATAGCACTATATAAGTACCTGAAATAAATAAATATATATATGTGTATATATATATATATATATATATATATATATATATATATATTTCCAAGAGTATCCAAAGTAAATGCCCAGATTAATTACCCAGGAAGAAATCCATATAAATCCAAAACTGGTTTAGGGTCTTACAGTGACGGAAGATAAAAAACAGAAGTGTTTTTATTGTCAACGTTTTGATGCAGCTCAGCCCATCTTTCTCACGACACTAAAACATGGAAGTGAACAGACTAATAAACCCAAAGGTCCAGCCACCAATAACACCCTCTTGGGACCTTAAATTAAGATTTACAGGAGTATGACATTAAGGATTGGCACCTTTGGGGGGGCGGGGGGAGGGGGTACCCAAATTTGACAGGTACCCACTTCCGGTCCAATCGCCTAGGCGATCGGAAGCGGAAGTTGTCCTCTCCCCTTCCTTCCTGTAGTCTTTTGGGACAGGTCCCAGAAGACTACAGGACCATTCATAAAGCGCAGCACTACTCTCGCATGCGCAGTGGGGACCCGGCTGTGAAGCTGCAAACTATCACAGCCGGGTGCCCACACTGAAGATGGCGGCCTCCTGGAATACAGGACGGCGGTGAAACGGGCTGCAGGGGACACACCACGGGACCGAGGGACAGGTAAGTGGCTGTTTTTTAAAAGTCAGCAGCTACAGTTTTTATTTTTTGACAAGGTGAGTGGAACTTCGCTTTAAGATATATCCTCAAACATATATAATATTACAAAAGAAAGAGAAAAAAGAAAAGAAACAAAAAAAATTTTTTTTGGCTCTTCCTTGAATATTGGGATGTTGGTACTAGGGAAGGGCAGTAACATTTGGTTATAGACACAATAGTTCATAAAAAAAGCAAAATATACAAAATCTTAGCTTGAAGCAAGCTAATAAAAATAGCTACTATGTAAAAATGGAACAGGAAGTGAAGAGAAATCTCCCCAAATGGGTACAGATAGCAAAAAAAAAAAAAAAAACATTATAGGGGTTATGACAGTCCCTTACTCTTATTCGAAATGAAAAAAAAAAACAACTTTTTCCTTTAGTCTACTTTAACCACTTTCTGACCGCGCTATAGCCTAAAGCTACATTGTGCTTGGCTAGTTGTGGGAGGGTGTCCATGGACGTCCTCCCAGAACCACACCCTCTGCGCGCCCATGGGGCGTGCATCATATGCATCCTGTGATTTCTGTGTCCTTTGGACACAGCTGATCACATGTCCAAGTGAAGGGCCAGAGCCGCCTTTACCATGTGACCAGCTGTGTCCAATCACAGCTGATCACAGTGTAAATAGGAAATGCCAGTTATCGGCAGTTCTTTCCTCACGTTGACAGTGCATGAGCAGAGGAGAGCCAGTAAGCGGCGTTTCACAGTGGGACAAGTACACTGATCATCAGGGCACTAATCATCAGTGCTATGATGATCAGTGTAGCCCCATCAGTGCAGCCAATTGTGCCCATCAGTGTCCATCTTTGCTGGCTTTCAGTGCCCATCTGTGCTGGCTTTCAGTGCCCATCAGTGCCCATCTGTGCTGGCTTTCAGTGCCCATCTGTACTGGCTTTCAGTGCCCATCTGTACTGGTTTTCAGTGCCCATCTGTGCTGGCTTTCAGTGCCCATCTGTACTGGTTTTAAGTGCACATGTGTACTGGCTTTCAGTGCACATATGTTATTTCTTTCAGTACCCATCTGTGCTGACTTTCAGTGCCCATATGTGCTGGCTTTCAGTGCCCATCTGTGCTGGCTTTCAGTGCCCATCAGTGCCCATATGTGCTGGCTTTCATTGCCCACCTGTACTGGCTATCAGTGCCCATCTGTGCTGGTTTTCAGTGCCCGTCTGTCCTGGCTTTCAGTAAACATCTGTGTCACGATCACAAGATCGCTGCCACCAACATGCGTCGATCCCACGATCGCGACGTCCAATATGTGACAAACGTGGCGTCAGACCCCAGCCCTTCGCACCAAACTCGTGACCAAAGGACTAGCCAATCTAAAACCGTGATGTCACGTGCGTAACAATGCCACACCCAGCTGCACCCTGCACAACGATTTTCCAGCTAATGGACCACAGATCAATGTACCGGTAGCCTGAGCGATGCCGCCGCCACCACCACCACCACCACCACCACCACCTCCTTTTTGTCAGAGAAAGAGGACACTCGGCAAGCTCAGCTAAAACACTATAATGATTGAAATAATCGTCTGCATAACACGGTCATAACACAGGCCAGTTATACAGAGGGTTAACCAAACAGTAGCGTTCTCTTTAGAGGCAAAGATTTGTAAATTGCAATACAGAGCTATAGAAACAGTTCAACACTTTCAGAAAGAAAGATTTATTACTAAAAGGTCAAACGGGTGCAATAAAAATATTTACAGAAAAAAGATGTAACTAAGATATATATATATAAACATACAGAGAATAACAGCACAGCAAAGAGATAACAGAGAGGTTAAAGGGTTAAGGTACTTGCCATTAAGCCTTGGATGTAAGCAGATCAAGTTTCTGAGCAGAAGGGGCACGGGTCTCCCCCAGGTGGTATTGATGTTAAAATGGGAGATGTCTTCAACTTCTTTCTTAGGCCTGACAGCCTATTTTGTAGTCCCCAGCAGGGGGTGGCTCTGAATTCAAGGACCAATCTACGCTTAGGGCGTGGAGATTTGGGTGGATGCCTCAACTAGAGCAAAAATCTTCCCTAACTCATATTTTGGCCTATAACTTTCCATCTGCACAAGTGACATTCCACCCGTGGGTAGATTATTATGCAGACAAGTCTGAGGATTGATTAGATATGAATTATGAAAGTGTGCACTGAATGGTTCACGAGATCTATTTTTCTGCTTTCCTGTGTGTCCAAGACAAGGCGAGTGACCCATCAAACTGTTCGCCTGCTCATTGTCCATCTGACGATATGTCCGGTTTTTATGTAAGTCTCCCATATTCCAAGATATGAGACATAGGGGAAACATGGATTTTGAGAAGTATTATCTGATTCTGTCACCTAGGCTGAGTAGGTTCATTAGGTCGGGATCTCTTTCAACTCTTGGGAAAGCTTGCCTTATCTCTTCCAAGGTGTGAAATGGCACAGGTTCTAGGACAGCTAGGCCCCGGCTCCCTGGGGGGGCCTTTATAGCTCCTATGACCCTCTTGTGACATTTTTTAACACACACATACACTGTCACTGTGCCTCTCAGAGTAAGGGGGGGAGGGAGAATGAGGGGAGAAAATGGAGATTCTTAACAAAATGGTGGACTGCGTCAGTCTCTGGTGCGCACGTTTGCGACAATTTGTACTGGCTTTCAGTGCACATCTGTGGTGGCTTTCAGTATCCATCTGTGCTGACTTTCAGTGTCCATCAGTGTCCATCTGTGCTGGCTTTCAGTGCCCATCTGTGCTGGATTTCAGTGCCCATCTGTGCTGGCTTTCAGTGCCCATCAGTTCTGGCTATCAGTGCCTCTTCAGTGATGCCTGTCAGTGCCCATCAGTAATGCCTCATCAGTGCCTCCTCATCATTGCAGCCTATAAGTGGCCATCAGTGCAGACTCGTAAATGAACATCAGTGAAGGATAAAAATCACTTATTCACAAAACTTTATAACAGAAACTAAGGAAACCTTTTTTTCAAAATTTTTGGTCTTTTTTGTTTGTTTAGCAAAAAAATAAAAACCCCAGTTGTGATTAAATACCACCAAAAGAAAACTCTATTTGTCTAAAAAAAATGATAAAAATTTAGTTTGGGTACAGTGTTGCATGACCGCACAATTGTCATTCAAAGTACGACAGCACTGAAAGCTGAAAATTGGCCTGGGCAGGACGGGGGTAAAAGTGCCCAGCAGGCAAGTGGTTAAGACCCCTGTCATACCCACAAGTCTATTGCCGGTGAGATTTTGCCATGTTAAAATTCTGGTTACGTAAAGAGACACGCCGTCATTTACCGAACTATTGGTACGTCTCCTAGTCACCGCTCTCTCATTAGCCACTGAGCTTCAGTAGCATTGCAGGCAGCGACTAAATTAATTCCAGCAATGACAAAGAAAGTTTCATTTCAGTGATTCTGCCGCTAACAAAGTGTCAACAGCATCAGAATCGCCCATGTGACATGGCCCTAAGGACTTTTTTGCCTGTTCGTGAAACAAAAT